AATACCTCCATGTGTAATAACTCTGTGTGTGATACCTCCCTCTGTAATACCTCCATGTGAAATACCTCCCTGTGTAATACCTCCATGTGCAATACCTCCATGTGTAATACCTCCATGTGTAATACCTCCCTGTGTAATACCTCCATGTGCAATACCTCCATGTGTAATACCTCCATGTGTAATACCACCATGTGTAATACTCCATGTGTAATACCTCCATGTGTAATACCTCCATGTGTTATACTCAATGTGTAATACCTCCGCGTGTAATACTCAATGTGTAATACCTCCATTGTAATACCTCCATGAGTAACACCTCCATTTGTAACACCTCAATAAAATACTCTATGTGTAATACCTCCATGTGCAATACCTCTATGTGTAATACTCCATGTGTAATACCTCCATGTGTAATACCTCCCTGTGTAATACCTCTATGTAATACCTCCATTTGTAATACCTCCATGTGTAATACCTCCATGTGTAATACCTCCCTGTGTAATACCTCCATGTGTAATACCTCCATGTGTAATACCTCCCTGTGTAATACCTCCATGTGTAATACCTCCATGTGTTATACTCCATGCGTAATACCTCCATGTGTAATGCCTCTATGTAATACCTCCGCGTGTAATACCTCCCTGTGTAATACCTCCATGTGCAATACCTCCATGTGTAATACCTCTGTGTGTGATACCTCCCTGTGTAATACCTCCATCTGTAATACCACTATGTGTAATACCTCCGCGTGTAATACCTCTATGTAATACCTCCCTGTGTAATACCTCCATGTGTAATACCTCCCTGTGTAATACCTCCCTGTAATACCTCCATGTGCAATACCTCCATGTGTAATACCTCCATGTGTAATACTCCATGTGTAATACCTCTGTGTGTGATACCTACCTGTGTAATACCTCCATGTGTAATACCTCCCTGTGTAATACCCCATGTGTAATACCTCCATGTGTAATACTCCATGTGTAATACCTCCATGTAATACCTCCATGTGTAATGCCTCTATGTAATACCTCCATGTGTAATACCTCCATGTGTAATACCTCCATGTGCAATACTTCCATGTGTAATACCTCCATGTGTAATACCTCCATGTGTAATACCTCCATTTTAATACTCCGTGTGTAATACCTCTGTGTGTAATACCTCTATGTGTAATACTTTTGTGTGTAATAGCTCCATGTGCAATACCTCCATGTGTAATACCTCCATGTGTAATACTCCATGTGTAATACCTTTGTGTGTGATACCTACCTGTGTAATACCTCCATGTGTAATACCTCCCTGTGTAATACCCCATGTGTAATACCTCCATGTGTAATACTCCATGTGTAATACCTCCATGTAATACCTCCATGTGTAATGCCTCTATGTAATACCTCCATGTGTAATACCTCCATGTGCAATACTTCCATGTGTAATACCTCCATGTGTAATACCTCCATGTGTAATAACTCTGTGTGTGATACCTCCCTCTGTAATACCTCCATGTGAAATACCTCCCTGTGTAATACCTCCATGTGCAATACCTCCATGTGTAATACCTCCATGTGTAATACCTCCCTGTGTAATACCTCCATGTGCAATACCTCCATGTGTAATACCTCCATGTGTAATACCACCATGTGTAATACTCCATGTGTAATACCTCCATGTGTAATACCTCCATGTGTTATACTCAATGTGTAATACCTCCGCGTGTAATACTCAATGTGTAATACCTCCATTGTAATACCTCCATGAGTAACACCTCCATTTGTAACACCTCAATAAAATACTCTATGTGTAATACCTCCATGTGCAATACCTCTATGTGTAATACTCCATGTGTAATACCTCCATGTGTAATACCTCCCTGTGTAATACCTCTATGTAATACCTCCATTTGTAATACCTCCATGTGTAATACCTCCATGTGTAATACCTCCCTGTGTAATACCTCCATGTGTAATACCTCCATGTGTAATACCTCCCTGTGTAATACCTCCATGTGTAATACCTCCATGTGTTATACTCCATGCGTAATACCTCCATGTGTAATGCCTCTATGTAATACCTCCGCGTGTAATACCTCCCTGTGTAATACCTCCATGTGCAATACCTCCATGTGTAATACCTCTGTGTGTGATACCTCCCTGTGTAATACCTCCATCTGTAATACCACTATGTGTAATACCTCCGCGTGTAATACCTCTATGTAATACCTCCCTGTGTAATACCTCCATGTGTAATACCTCCCTGTGTAATACCTCCCTGTAATACCTCCATGTGTAATACCTCCATGTGTCATACCTCCATGTGCAATACCTCCACGAGTAATACCTCCACGTGTAATACCTCCATGTGTTATACTCCATGCGTAATACCTCCATGTAATACCTCCATGTGTAATGCCTCTATGTAATACCTCCATATGTAATACCTCCCTGTGTAATACCTCCATGTGCAATACCTCTATGTGTAATACCTCCCTGTGTAATACCTCCATGTGTAATACCTCCATGTGTAATACTCAATGTGTAATACCTCCGCGTGTAATACCTCTATGTAATACCTCCCTGTGTACTACCTCTGTGTGTGATACCTCCCTGTGTAATACCTCCATCTGTAATACCACTATGTGTAATACCTCCGCGTGTAATACCTCTATGTAATACCTCCCTGTGTAATACCTCCATGTGTAATACCTCCCTGTGTAATACCTCCCTCTAATACCTCCATGTGTAATACCTCCATGTGTCATACCTCCATGTGCAATACCTCCACGAGTAATACCTCCACGTGTAATACCTCCATGTGTTATACTCCATGCGTAATACCTCCATGTAATACCTCCATGTGTAATGCCTCTATGTAATACCTCCATATGTAATACCTCCCTGTGTAATACCTCCATGTGCAATACCTCCATGTGTAATACCTGTGTGTAATACCTCCATGTGTAATACCTCCATGTGTAATACTCAATGTGTAATACCTCCGCGTGTAATACCTCTATGTAATACCTCCCTGTGTACTACCTCCATGTGTAATACCTCCATGTGTAATACCTCCCTGTAATACCTCCATGTGTAATACCTCCATGTGTAATACCTCAATGTGCAATACCTCCACGAGTAATACCTCCACGTGTAATACCTCCATGTGTAATACTCCATGTGTAATACCTCGATGTGTAATACCTCTGAGTGTAATACCTCCATTGTAATGCTCCATGTGTAATGCTCCATGTGTAATACTCCATGTGTAATACCTCCATTGCAATACCTCCATGAGTAACACCTCCATGTGTAATACCTCAATGTAATACTCCATGTGTAATACCTGTGTGTAATACCTCCATTGTAATACTCCATATGTAATGGCTCCATTTTAATTCCTCCGTGAGTAACACCTCCATGTGTAATACCTCCATTGTAATACTCCATGTGTAATACCTCCATTGTAATACTCCATGTGTAATACCTCTGTGTGTAATACCTCCATGTGTAATACTTCTGTGTGTAATAGCTCCATGTGTAATACCTCCATGTGTACTACCTCCATGTGTAATACTCCATGTGTAATACCACCATGTGTAATACTCCATGTGTAATACCTCCATGTGTAATACATCCATGTGTAATACATTCATGTGTAATACCTCTGTGTGTAATACCTCCATGTGTAATACATCCATGTGTAATACCTCCATGTGTAATACATCCATGTGTAATACCTTCATGTGTTATACCACCATGTGTAATGCCTCCATGTGTAATACCTCTGTGTGTAATACCTCCATGTGTAATACCTTCATGTGTTATACATCCATGTGTAATACCTCTGTGTGTAATACCTCCATGTGTAATACCTTCATGTGTTATACATCCATGTGTTATACCTCCATGTGTAATACTCCATGTGTAATACATCTGTGTGTAATGCTCCATGTGTAATACCTCCATGTGTAATACCTCCATATTTAATACTCCATGTGTAATACATCTGTGTGTAATGCTCCATGTGTAATACCTCCATGTGTAATACTCCATGTGTAATACATCTGTGTGTAATACCTCCATGTGTAATACCTTCATGTGTTATACATCCATGTGTTATACCTCCATGTGTAATACTCCATGAGTAATACATCTGTGTGTAATGCTCTATGTCTAATACCTTCATTGTAATACTCCATGTGTAATACCTCTGTGTGTAATACCTCCATTGTAATACTCCATGTGTAATATATCTGTGTAATACATCCATTGTAATACTCCATGTGTAATATCTCCCTGTATAATACCTCCATGTGTAACACCTCCATGTGTAACACCTCCATGTGTAATACCTCCATGTGTAATACCTCTGTGTGTAATACCTCCATGTGTAATACCTCCATGTGTAACACCTCCATGTGTAATACCTCTGTGTGTAATACCTCCATGTGTAATACCTCTGTGTGTAATACCTCCATGTGTAATACATCCATATGTAATACCTCCATGTGTAATACCACCATGTTTAATACCTCCATGTGTAATACCTCCATGTGTAATACCTTCATGTGTAATACCTCCATGTGTAATACCTCCATGTGTAATACATCTGTGTGTAATGCTCCATGTGAAATACCTCCATGTGTAATACATCTGTGTGTAATGCTCCATGTGTAATACCTCCATGTGAAATACTCCATGTGTAATACATCTGTGTGTAATACTCCATGTGTAATACCTGTGTGTAATACCTCCATTGTAAAACTCCATGTGTAATACTCCATGTGTAATACCTGTGTGTAATACCTCCACGTGTAATACCTCTGTGTGTAATACCTCCATTGTAAAACTCCATGTGTAATACTCCATTGCAATACCTCCATGTGTAATAGCTCCATTGTAATACCTCCCTGTGATATACCTCCATGAGTAATACCTCCATTGTAATACCTCCATGTGTAATACGTCCATGTCACACAAGGTACAACAAGAACAAAGGGGTGATGATTATGTTCAGATTTATTATGTCTTTGTATATTTGTTAATCTGGATAATAATACATTCACAACCACTTGAACTTGTGAAACCCAAGCAAGTCCCAACATAAATGGAAATCAGACAAGTTATAAATGCAGATTCTGTGAGGACCAAAAGCTTGCATTCTCTCAAACCAGGTTTCACAAACACCATCATGATGCTACTACATGTTTTCACTTACTATGCAAATGTCAGAAACAAAAGTCGCCAAGCTGGTGATCATAACCAACAAATTGATAGAAAATGCCTCTGATATCATGTGTTGATACCATCTTAAAATTAAAAAGTATAATTTCACAACTCAACATTGCTCAATGCAGTACAACAGGGCCAAGATATATCTTGTCAATCACACTAGCTCTGTACAAAACAGTCATCACACGATGCCGGTCGGAAAGAATTTCCTGATACAGGTTTCATCATCATGGTTGATCATTCTTCCTGCTGGTTCAATTAACTTCCGAGTGGAACCAGCTATCGGGGAGTGTGCTGCACAGTTGGCATGAACCATTCCATGGTTGTAACAATCCAGGAAAACACCCCACAGTTCCAAAGTGGTCATGTGACCACTCTAATATTGAGGAACATGGCTTGCTTTTCAATTGGAAACATGAATGATGCAACAATGATGATAATGAAAACCAACAACCAGCACTGTAAATGTTAAATAGCTAAAAAGGAAATGTTTTAATGTGGGAAATATTTCTAAGAATAGTTCTCGCTCAAAGCACTCTGAGAGCCTTTGTTAGTGAGTGAGTGAGTGAGTGAGTATGGTTTTACACCATTTTTAGCAATATTCCAGCAATATCACGGTGGTGGATACCAGAAATGGGCTTTACACATTGTAACGATGTCAGGAATTGAACACAGTTCTTCGGCGTGACGAGCGAATGCTTTAACCACTAGGCTACCCCTCACCCGAGAGCCTTTGTTAAACCTGATACCCGAGTAGAGACTTGATGCAGAAAAAAGGCAAAAAGCTAAAAACTCAACTTTTAACTACAGATATTCTAGATATACTGCTGATCTCATTGCTATAGGTTATTATCCAATCAAACACGAACACTGATTAAAATCTAAGTCTTAATCGAACTAAATATGTACAGGAATTCATGGGATCACATGATCACATTTATATAATGACATGTAAATACAGGCATTTATTATCAACAATAAAATAACAGATCAATGTTCATTTGAAATTCATCAGCAACCTCAATAAGCCAAGGTTTTCTGTATCCATTTTACTTGGAATACCATAAACTCCCTTGCCACCATAGTGTCATTTTGGTAACACGACACTTCCTCCATTGTTCCAATCTCTCACTTAGAGCAATAGGAACGGAGAGCTATTTTCGTTGTGATATTTGAATAGGCCTCGAATAATGCCATGATGGAATTTATCAAAATAGAAAAAGGGATATAAACTAATGGATAACTGAGGATGGTCAATCAGCCTAGGAACCTCCTAGTCATGCTGGTATGCATCACAGACACCCAGACTTCAGAAATTAGTTTCTAAGGACTAGTACAAAACCTATGTCGGAGTCTGTGGCTAGTCTTGCTAAACTAATTTGTTTTAAAATCAAGTATGGAGAAGTGGTGGAAAATAAAAGTGCTAAAATGTTATTGTTCATGAAGGGCTACAAAATAAAGTGGTCTCAATGGATATTTGAAAGTTGGCTTCCACGCTTTCAGTATACTACACATATCAGCTAACTCATGCAAGGATGGCTGCCAGCAACCATAACTGTCTTCATGATCCTTGGACTAACTAAGAACTACATCTATCATTCATTTCACAATTAACTTCAGTCTTAAAGGACTTTTGGTTTTAGAAAAGAATTCAAATTATCAAAGATGACCTCATTATACTGTGGCCATCATATACAATCTTTAATTTTTACAGATTATTAATATAAAAATGGGCGATTTGAATAGTAACAAGAGTAATTATGTGTATGATGGAGTGTCAGCTTGGTGTGGGAGGAAAGCCCCCAGTAGCATGGGTAGAGTGCTGACAAACCTAGAAACACAACCATAGATTTCTGGCTTTCCCAAGGGAGGCAACCCTGCACAGAAAATTGTGGCGTTTTAGCCAACTGGGTCACACGACCCGACTGACAGCATGGGCATGTAAACATGATCCAACCACGTCACATCCATTCTGAGTATAGCTGACTACTAGGTGTAAAACGATACATCGGTGCACTGTGAGTTTTATGTGAAGATACGATACACAATATGCATGTTTCTGTATTGATACAAGATGATACAACTGCTGAAACAAATTACTTTCTACTCGTTTAATGATCCCGAACGTTTTTGTCAGTCAGATATCGTAAAATGTGTTGTAATCAGCTTTTCCAATTCACAACTACAGCTAGCTTTTCCTTTTGAACCTGATCTAAAATATTTCTTGTCAAGTTTCCACATGATTTGATGCAAACATGTGTATCGCGATACGTATCGTATCGTGACCTTGCTGTATCTTTTCACCCCTATTGAGTACCATGGTAAGCAGGACATTCTGTGGACCGTATGTGACTGAACACATCACAAGCAACATACTGCGAGAAACTATTGACTGATTGTGTTGCTTGTCTATCAAAGTTACACTGTACTTCATACAAACAAGGTTGAATATGTCAAGTGGATCTTAATCTTTAAACAATCTATATGTAAATCTGTAATATGTAAACTATGACAGTGGTATCAAATATTCAAATACAACCAATCCTGAAGTGTCACATTGACATTGTTAGTTTCAAACTCCTTTTAATGCAATGGTTGATTCTAAATGTATATTGATGTCAATTAAAATCAGACTAACAATTGCCACTGCAGTGATCATGCCAACCATGAACAGTTCATGTCTCTAGCAAAGTACACTGGCACCAGCAAGAGGGCGTGACGAGCGAACGCTTTAACCATTAGGCTACCCCACCGCCCTGGCACCAGCAAGAGTCTATCAATGACTTGTAAACTCAATTCTGAATTCACTGTCAGGATAATTGTTATTTACTTCCACTGAGTTTACAACTTCCCTGGCTGTGGTAGATGGTCTGTCAGACTGTTGTTTCTTTCCATCGTGTGAAATGCCATGCTGCCCAAGAGAGACACCATCATTGCCATGGGGATCAAGCGGGACATCACATCCTACAGTTGAGACACCATCATTGTTGCGGAGACCAAGTGAGATGTCAAGTTGGATGCCACAGTGTCCATGTGACAGGTCCTGGGGAACAAGGGCGACATCATCAACACCAGATGACAAATCCTGCTCTGGTCCACCAGATGACAAATCCTGCCCTGGTCCACCAGATGACAAATCCTGCTCTGGTCCACCAGATGACAAATCCTGCTCTGGTCCACCAGATGACAAATCCTGCCCTGGTCCATCAGATGACAAATCCTGCTCTGGTCCACCAGATGACAAATCCTGCTCTGGTCCACCAGATGACAAATCCTGCTCTGGTCCACCAGATGACAAATCCTGCTCTGGTCCACCAGATGACAAATCCTGGGCTGGTCCACCAGATGACAAATCCTGGGCTGGTCCACCAGATGACAAATCCTGCCCTGGTCCACCAGATGACAAATCCTGCCCTGGTCCATCAGATGACAAATCCTGCTCTGGTCCACCAGATGACAAATCCTGGGCTGGTCCACCAGATGACAAATCCTGCCCTGGTCCACCAGATGACAAATCCTGGGCTGGTCCACCAGATGACAAATCCTGCCCTGGTCCACCAGATGACAAATCCTGGGCTGGTCCATCAGATGACAAATCCTGCCCTGGTCCACCAGATGACAAATCCTGTGCTGGTCCACCAGATGACAAATCCTGCCCTGGTCCACCAGATGACAAATCCTGGGCTGGTCCACCAGATGACAAATCCTGCCCTCGTCCATCAGATGACAAATCCTGCCCTGGTCCACCAGATGACAAATCCTGCCTTGGTCCACCAGATGACAAATCCTGCCCTGGTCCACCAGATGACAAATCCTGCCCTGGTCCACCAGATGACAAATCCTGCACTGGTCCACCAGATGACAAATCCTGCCTTGGTCCACCAGATGACAAATCCTGCCCTGGTCCATCAGATGACAAATCCTGGGATGGTCCACCAGATGACAAATCCTGGGATGGTCCACCAGATGACAAATCCTGCCCTGGTCCATCAGATGACAAATCCTGCCCTGGTCCATCAGATGACAAATACTGGGCTGGTCCACCAGATGACAAATCCTGCCCTGGTCCACCAGATGACAAATCCTGGGCTGGTCCACCAGATGACAAATCCTGCCCTGGTCCACCAGATGACAAAACCTGCTCTGCTCCACCAGATGACAAATCCTGGGCTGGTCCACCAGATGACAAATCCCGCCCTGGTCCATCAACAATGGGACCGGTGTACACAGAATGGTTATTAGAAACTCCATCAACCTTCAACAACTCTTCACACTGAACTTCTGCAATAATACCAAGGTGCAGTGGAAACTCACTTTGGCTTTGCATGCCATCAGCTTGACCTTGCATGCGATCAACTTGAGCTTTCATGCCATCAACTTGACCTTGCATGCCATCACCTTGACCTTGCACACCATCATGTTGACCTTGCATGCCATGAACTTGACCTTGCATGTCATCAACTTGACCTTGCATGTGATCAACTTGACCTTGCATGCCATCAGCTTGACCTTGCATGCCATCAGCTTGACCTTGCATGCCATCAGCTTGACCTTGCATGTCATCAACTAGACATTGCTTATGATCACTCTGACTCTGTATGGCACAATCATATCCATCTGCAACAGCAAGATGATCTCCAAAGATGGCATTAACATGACCTTGGACTTCATTTTGTTCTAGTCCTAAACCCTGAAACACAGTTCCCTCACTGACAACCACATTCATGCTCCCACTACCAACTTTGCTCTCACCATCCATTCCAGTCTCAACACTGATGTTCTCAACTTCAATCTGAGATTGTAATTCATCATCTGAAGCCATGCTCTCCTCATCATCCACTGGACTGGCATGGTCCATGTAGATCATGTGTCCATCAATCAACATTGTGTCAGTATCAGGCTCTTCTCCACAATAATCAGACTCCCCATCACCTCTAACAACTTCCTCCCATACATCTTCCTCCGTCTTGTCTTGTTCACTGCCACCCTCTTGAATCGCTGCATCATCTGGAACAACCCTCATTAACATCTTGTCAGGACTACGGTTAACTTTTCTGCCAACCCTTCCTTGTCTCCCTGCAGCAGCATCCTCATCTCTATGGAGGAGTTTCACATGGACGATCTTGTTACTCAGAAGCATAAACCTTTTCCCACAAACGTCACATCTGTACGGCAGCTCCCCGGTGTGAATCCTCATGTGAACATTGAAAGCAAGTTCCTGTTTAAATGTCTTATCACAAACAACACACTCAGCAACATCTTTCTTAGGAAAAGCTTTAGCTCTTTCTCTAATTCGTTCCACACTACATTCAGGTCGTGATGCTGACCGTGCAGAACGCTTACTCCCACAATCTGGTTGCTCACCTGGATGGAGTTTCCTCATATGGTATGCCATGTCACCTTTGCGTTTGTAAGAACAGGTGGATATCCTGCATTTGAATTGTTTCTCTGGTGAATGTTTCTGGAAATGGGAATACAACATGGATGGGGTGACTTCTGGCTTGTTGCACAAAGGACACAGATATGGACCTTTTCCGCTGCTCTCAGAACAACTTACATAATGTTTTAACACATCTTCCATCCTAGGATAGGATTTCTTGCAAAAAGTGCATGGGTAATGTTTATCATTGGCAGTCAGCTTATGATCATTGTAGATAGCTGAAGAAGTCAGGTTATGATCCTTGTAGATAGCTGAAGAAGTCAGGTTATGATCCTTGTAGATAGCTGAAGAAGTCGGGTTATGATCCTTGTAGAGAGCTGAAGAAGCGGATCCATGTGGAAATTTCTTTGCAATATTTTGTTTAGAAGATGTTGAAGACACACTGCCAATTTTAAAAGAAACAATATGTTTTTTACTCATATGAATTTTCAAGCTGCTCGGCAATGCAAACACTCTCTGGCATATTTTACATTGATGTTGATTGGAAAGAGGAGTGTTGGTGTTGTCTTGCCTCTGATTGCTGGTTCCAGTCCCATGGCTCTTGTACTGAGACTCCTGGTTCTGCCCACCGTGCACCTTCTTCAGGTGGCCCTTCAGAGTATAGGGCAGAGAGAATTTTTTCTCACACATGTCACACTGGTATGGTTTGATGCCAGTGTGTGTCCTCACGTGAATGATCAGACGACTCAAGATACTAAACTTTCTGTCACAAAATACACACAATAGAGGTTCACCGGAAACAATGGCACCATCCTTGATTTGTTTCAGGCTGTGCGTTGTGGAATGAGTCTGCAAATGGCGTCGACAAGCAGTCTGCGAGTCAAATTCAGTTTTACAAATTCTGCATCTATATCTTTGTTTGTTATCCAAAATTCTTAGTTGTTTCTGCAACAGCTTAGGCTGAACTTGTGTCACACAGAGTTTGCTCTTCGGGTTAGTGTGGCACTTCAAGTGATATGTCTGCTTCACTTTTGATGAGAACTTCTCATCACAAAGGATACAATTAAAAAACTTCTGTCCACCTCCTCCTCCATCTGTGCAGAAGCTGGTAGAAAACATGGTCTTTCTCCTATTTAAATGCCTCCAAGCATGGAGTTTGAAATGGTGCTTATCAGTAAAAACTCTATAACACGTTTTACATCTGTATTGTGTCTGTTCTGTCTTCTTGAACTGTTTGAGGAAAGTCACATTGTCCTGTTCGAAACCTTTAATGTAGAGTCTGCTCTGAGGGTTCAAGTGGTAGGTGATATGTTTCTTCAGATGGTGTCGGAATGAAAAGTGCTCCCCACATGGGCAACTGAACGATGTTTCTCCTGTATGTCTCTTCACATGGCTGTTCAACTCAAATGTAAAGTGAAACGTTTTGTTGCACTTGCCACATCTACATAATCTGGCAGCCTGGGAACGTTTAATTTTACTTTTCAATGATTTCTTAGAAGGGTATAATTTATAATGTTTCACCTTTATATGAGCAAGTAGGTCGTTGGATGTTTTGAACGTTGTCCCACACCCGGAACACACAAACAAGTCTCCTTCGCTGCCATTGACATGTGACAACTTGTGACGTTTAAGATTAAAAGGGTTCGTGAAAGATTTTCCGCAAAAACAGTCATGTGGTTTGGTCTTTACATGAACCCTCATGTGGGATGACAATCCTGACTGGTTAGAAAACCACTTCTTACACAACAAACATCTTTTACCACTTCTGGCTTTCTTTGAACAGCGTGGATCATATGACGATTCCACTTTGATGGATGACTCTTCGTTCTTTGCCAGTTTCGGAGATGACCCGTTATCTTCAGCTTCTATGTTTATGTTATCTGGGGTACCTGGGTGTTGAGATCTCTTGTGATGATAAATCTGATGAGCGTAGGAAAACAATTTTCCACAAATGTTACAAGAGTGAGGTTTTTCTCCGGTGTGCATCCGTAAATGAAGTTTGTAACAATACCAATTGGAGAAACCTTTGCCACACACAGAACACTTGTTTGGTTCACCTTTTCGGACATGGCAACCTTTTTTGCTTTGGATATTGTGTTTAGTCCGGAGATGTTTGGATGTCTTTTGTTGTGCTTTTGTTGTGCTGTGAGCCATCATCATCTCTGGAGCTTCACGAGACAGGTCTAGATGAGACTTATGCTGTATTTTGGAGTTTTTGTGGGCTGTCCTCTCATGACAACACAAATCAGATTGACGAGTAAAATCTTTACCGCAGACCTGACATGGAAAACTTGACTTGTTATGCCGTCTCATATGGCGGTACAAAACATCCTTCCTGCTGAATACTTGATCACAGACAGGACACTGATGTACAGAGTCCTGATGTCGTGCACTTGACAATTTCGTATGGATGATTCGTATGTGGCGATACAGATTGTACACCTGCGAATACACTCTTCCACACACCTGACACTCATGACGCTGAGGGGAGCTGTGTTGTTTTAGATGCTTCCTTAAATTATCTGGTCTATTGAACATCCTCTTGCAAACAGGGCACCTCAGGGCTTCGAGGTCTTCATCACTGTTCATCACAAGTGCAGATGCAGTGTAATTTTTCATTGTTGGATGGGCAGTTTTCATATGGCGCTGTAGATTGTACACATTTGAATATGACTTTTTGCACACCTGACAATCATAACGTTGAGGAAACCGGTGTAGTTGGACATGCTTCCTCAACTGTTCTGGTCTACTAAACATCCTCTTGCATACAGGGCACTTCAGGGCTTCTAGGTCCTTGTCACTCTCTCCCGACTCATCTGCAGACGCACTGTCATTGATCGCTGTTGTATGGGCAACCTTCATGTGGCGTTGTCGACTTGACTGTTCGGTGAAGGACTTGGCACATAGGCGACACTGGAAGCGTAACACTGAGCAGTGATGTCTGACATGCCTCATTAAAACATCTCTTCTTGTGAATGTTTTCTTGCAAATAGAGCACTGAAGTCTGGATTTGACTATGCTCGGAACATCTTGTTTAGCCCCGGGAATTACTGTGTTGCTGTGTTTGCCATGGGCCAGTCTTACATGGCGACAAAGGTTATTCTTCATAGTGTAGGATCTCTCACACCACTGGCACTGGTGGCGCATGCATAAACCATGTTGTTTCACATGTTTTCTCAAAACATTTTGACTCGAGAATCTCTTATTGCAAATTGAACAGCAATGATTTATTTTTAATTTTTTGTGGGCGCTCCTTTTATGCTGAAATAGCTTGTTCCAGTTGGTGAAGGTCTTGTCACACTCGGGACATGGGTATGATTGTGTCGATGTACCTTGTTTCAAGATTCCGTTCTGAATATCTGAACCTCTGGATTTATCCAGACACGCGGACTCAAGAACACTTTCACCTTGGTTACAAGTGGAGGAAGTTTGTTGTGGTGTCCTCACTTTGTGGGAGAATTTCATATGATTAAGCATGTGGACTTTTTTGCTGAACGCTTGTCTGCATATCTTACATTGGTGTTGTCGTTTAGAACTGGTCTGTGAAGGAATACTGTCATGAGCCCTCTTCAAGTGGCGCTTGAGCCAACTCTGGAAAGAAAACACCTTTTCGCACAAGGAACACTTGTAACCTCCCCTTGCATGGATGTTCAGATGGTGTTGCAAGTCATACGCTCTTAAAAACCTCTTCCCACATATTGAGCAAACATGGGGTTTTGCTTCGTACTTCTCACCAGATTCCAGATTAATGACATGTGTCTGCAAATGTTGCTTCAAGTAAAAAACTGCTTCAAACGTTTGACGACAAATGTGACAAACATATTTACAACCTGTGGATTCAGGTTCCTCAGACACAGGAGTTTCCAGGTTTAGACCAGAGCTTTCACCGACTGTTGTGGGTTCAGTTTTGTACAGACTGGGCGTGTCTTGTTTAACATGGACCTTGTTGACTTGGTTCATGAGTCGATGTGTGTCTGTGTGAAGTTTGAGGTACACGTAGGACCTGAATGTCCTGTCACACATGAAGCAGCGATAGACCTCCTGGACGGTGTCCTTGAGTGATCCAGTAGGCTGCAGCTTGGCGTGAGTGTCACGGTGTTGTTTCAGGTCAACATACGACCTGAATGCCCTGCCACACTGATTACACTTATAGGTTTCTTTCTGCTTGGTGTTTTTGGATGCTGAGAAACTTGTGTGTTGATCTTGAGGACCCACCTCAGTCATGTGTAACCTTATGTGTTTATTTCGACCCCGGAATGTTGGAAATACCTTGCCACAAAATTTACACTTGAACAATTTGTCTGTAGATTTCAAGTTCAAGGCCTTTACTGCTTTGTGGCTTCTCATGTGAGAATTTCGTCCCCGATACGTTTTGAAGGATTTACCACAGACCCGACAGGAGAACTGATTGTTGACCTGAGAACCACCTTGAGCATTCTGTTTATTGTGTGTCTTCATGTGTGCGATGAGATGTGTTTTCTGAAAGAATGCCTTATCACAAGTTGCACACTTGTGCGGTCGATGACCGGTGTGGATTTTCATGTGCACATTTAGGCTGGACTTATTGGCCAGGACACGTTCACAAACAAGGCACCTACAGACATTAGTGCTCTTGGAGGTCGTATCACGCCTCTTGACCCCCTTGTCCATTCTGGCCAGGTGCTATGTCCACCAGGGTTACTCTCTGATTAGGTCAAGACAGCCCTGCTTCTTTATCAATTCAATCTTCTCCGGTTCCTTATTATGTTCTTGTGTTTTGTTCTGAAGACTATCATCCTCCACTGCTTTGGTTTCCTCCAAGATGGCCATATTTCTGAAATCAAAAGTGTCTTTATAACTTCCACCTCTCACCATGGTAAACCCTGTTATGAATATTCTAAACATCATAACCACTTTCAACAGTATTCCAGTTGCATTGCGGTGTGTCAGCTTGTGGGAGGAAAGACCCAAGTGATGCAGGCCTCAGACGTTTACCACTTTGGTGAAACCCACGAGCACGAGTATGGTGCTGACAGACCTAGAAACATAATCGGGGCTAACCGAGCACGGGAATTGTGCTGACAAACCTAGAAACATAATCAGGGCAAAACGAAATCTCAACTTCTGGGATGAGGAATTGTTTGTTTGTTTGTTGTTGAACGCAGCACTCAGCAATATTCCAACTATATGACGGCAGTCTGTAAATAATTGAGTCAATCCAGTGATTTACATCATGAACATCGATCCACGCAATTGGGGTGGATAACATGCATTAACCAAGTCAGCGGGCCTGACAACCTGATCCCATTAGTAGCCTCTTACGACAAGCATAGTTGCCTTTTATGGCAAGCATGGGTTGCTGAAGACCTATTCTACCCTGATCTTCACGGGGACAAGAATGGGTTGCTGGAAGACCTACTCTATCCCGGATCTTCACGGGGACAAGAATGGGTTGCTGAAGACCTGTTCTATCCCGGATCTTCACGGGTCTGAGGAATGGTGGACCAGTACACATGATACAGGTCGGGTATGGCTGACCAAACCATTACTCAGATCAATAGCGGATGTGGACCACATTCAGTTTGATCGTTGTAGTGCCTATTCTGACCTAGGTCTCAACTATACACAGGGGTGCTGGGAACCTATTCTGACCTAGGTCTCAACTATACACAGGGGTGCTGGGGACCTATTCTAACCTAGGTCTGAACTTTACACAGGGTTGCTGGGGACCTATTCTGACCTCTGTTCCAACATTACATAGAGCGCCAGGGACCTATTCTGACCTGGGTCTCAACATAACATAGAGAGCCAGGGACCTATTCTGACCTGGGTCTCAACATTACATAGAGCACCAGGGACCTATTCTGACCTGGGTCTCAACATTACATAGAGCACCAGGGACCTATTCTGACCAGACTGCATTGGAATTTTCTGACCTGGGTCTCCACTGTTGGGGTCCTTTGCATAGGTTATCACTGCCCTTTTATCACTGCTCTCCATAACGAACAATCTCAGCACTTGCCTGTGCAGCACACAAAATAACACGACTACTCACTTGTCACCATGTTTTAAGATTCATGTTACAAGGAACAGCCAAACGAGACATAAAACAACAGGATTAACTTGCCCTACATCAACATGTCTCAGCCTTGTGTTATGTCTGAAGCAGCCCACCTCACCGCGCAGGCACCTGTTACAGGGTAGACACCATTTATGGATAGCAACTTCTTTAATTACTGTAAAGGCGACGTTTCAGTATAGATCCTGCTTGACAAGGGTATAAGGATCCATACTGAAATGTCACATTTACAGTATAAAAGAAGTTGTTATCCATAAATTGTGTGTACTTTGTCATCTGTCAACTTTTAAGTAATGCCTACCAAACAAATTAGCACCTATTGTAAAGAGTAACTACAGACTACGTTATGTGTAAGTAAGTAAGAGGGGGCTGTTTTCAGCTCACCTCGTTAGTGAGGGCTGAGATTGGCAGCTTCTTGTGACATGGCCCCTTTTCTTAAAACTGCAGAGTTTCTGTTAATCCCCAACAAGCTGGATTCGGTGGCCTGACTCGTTGACTTGGTTGATAACATGTCAACATACCCCAACAGAGGATTGTTGCTCATAATATCAATCACTGGTTTGTCTGGTCCACACTTGATAACTCCCAGATTGTTGTCACATAGCTGGAATATAGGTCAGTGGGGTGTTACCAGGAAAGACATATTGCCACCTGAATCACTGTCCTATTATTAACATACATGGCTCAAGTCCCCAAAGAACACCTTAATATCTTTTCTGTGCCAAGCATTACCAACCCCTGTTCGACCCGTGAAGGCCCAGGACAGAAAAGGTCTTCAGCAACCCATGCTTGCCGTAAAAGGCGACTATGCTTGTCGTAAGAGGCGACTAACAGGATCGGGTGGTCAGGCTCGCTGATTTGGTTGATGCATGTCATTAATCCCAATAGCTTGGATCAATGCTCATGATATCATTCACTGGATTGTCTGGTCCAGACTCGATTATTTACAGACCGTCGTCATATAGCTGGAATATTGCTGAGTGAAGCGTTTAACAACAAACAAAACCCTGTTCAGAGGTCAACATTCTGCCTTGTATCTGCTCACGTGAGTAAAAATTCTCACATTTGAACTAAACATGCTAAACATTTCCTGATTCATGTTGATGTTCATGTTACAGGTAGCATAACTGATGTGTCTTGGTCAGGTTGACCTGTATTTCACTGACCTCCTGTTTACTCGTACTAGTTAACACAACAATAGAAGCACTATGTACTACTACACCGAAGGTTTTGATCTGAACACAGCATCGTGTGGTAACAGGAATTAACAAGAGATGTCAGCCACAATGTACTTATGTCTGTTCATCATTTCATAGAAAATAGTGGTAGGTTTGTACATTGAGTATAGATATATATTAAGCTAATATGTACATGACTGTAGTGTTGGTAACATAAATGGCCTTTTTGCTATATAATCTGTATTGTTCCTTGACCTTATTCTATGTTAACATAACTGTAATTATGTAACTGATCACCGTGTTTACACAAGCCAGCTGGGCTTGTTTACCAATCCCTTTCAACTTAGGTTGATAAAATATGTTTAAATTACATGGTAAGCGTGAAGAAACATGGTTAGTACATCTCAGTATTTCGCTGAATTTTCACGCCCCTCACCATGACCCGAGAGGAATTCAGAACAGCCTACCTAGATGGTTGTGTTGATCTTCAAAAACACAGGAAATTTAGAGTTACTTCCCTTTGACTTCGCCTGACGCTTTAGCCTTTGGTATTAAATTTGTTTGCCACGCATGCGACCGCAAACAGATTCAGTAAAAATGAGAAATAATAAGTTCACATCGTTCACAATTAATGCTACCTGGCATATCAAAACATATAACACGGAGGGTATGTATGCAAATCGAGGAGCTAGCTTACTTTGCTGCCGATATGTCATGAAATCTGTTGCGTCCTAAAAAACAATCACATATGGACCGCTGAAACCAAAGAAGTGTTAGAGTCAGTAGTCGGTGAGGGGAATATACGAACCACAATTACACAGGTAGGCCTACATGTGTCTCCAGACTGTAGGAGCAGGCTCCTCCCACAATCATGTTCATCTCGCGAGCTGAACACACGACCTATTTCCTTCATGCATGAAGCGGGATTTCACTTGTCACGTGACACCACACCCGTCAATCAAATCTCCACAAATGCAGTGTGGACACGTTTAGTTATTGGTTCAGCGGGTCTGAGATCATCGCTTGGTCATTGCGCTTCGCGACGGCCCTGAATGCAGGGCAGCACGGTTGGAAAGTGATAGTTATAAAAATGATTTTTTATTGTTTTAATTTTTTTGGTAATATATTTCCTGTAGCATACAATGTTATAACACGTCTAATTCATGTTATCTATTTCCTGTTCACCACATACGGAAGTTGTGCATATGTAATTTCATTCACTTTTCAATGAGCAACACATGTAATTACTACCGCAGAACGTATTTATTCTATATAAATTAAGTAAAACGTTAATTGATTAAAAACCTATAACTGCAACCATTTTAAAAATCGTTCGATATTTGATACCAATTCATGCGCAATTTACCCGTATATCGCACTTTAATTATTTGAATGTTCTCGCTAATTAACGAACACTGTTATTAAGGAATGATATTTCAAATTCAGTTGTTGTTTTTCCAGTGTGGTTGCATTTGTTTACATGTACAGAGCACAGGTAACTGTGACGTCAGAGCATTGCCTGTTACATATATGAAACACACGTGAGACAGCGCCACCTGCAGGACGTGAAAGTAAGGAAACACAATTGAAACAAGTTATAAAATAGAGTATTTTTTAATTCACCAACAATGTAATACATATCGTGCAATTTGAACTATGGCTTTTTTTCTAAACAGAGAGTGATCGAGTGAGTATAGGGTTTTACGCCGCTTTCAGCAATATTCCAGGAATATCACGGCGGGGTAAACCAGAAATTGGCTTCACACATCGAACCAATGTGGGGAATCGAACCCTGGTCTTTGTGACGAGCGAACGCGTTAACGTTTGGGCTACCCCGCCGCCCTAGACAGAGAGGGCGGCCTGTGTAAATAAATGATCATACACACACGCACGCACGCACGCACGCACGCACGCGCGCCCTTCCACATCTTGTTTCTATGGTGGTAACGCTGAATAGCGTATTGAATGCTGCACATGTATTTCTTGACCAGCACTGTTTTCCAAAACGTCGAATGGTCTGATTTGAGTCGGAAAAGTGTGTTTAAAGATAGCTATTCATGATATCAATCACAGGATTGTCTGGGCGCCGTCAGTCGTCTAAGGCGCCGCGATTCGCTGTGCAGAGTTGCGTCCCTTGGGCAAGAAACCTATGATTGTGGGTTCGAATCCCGGTTCGCCCCGATTATGTTTCTAGGTTTGTCAGCACCATACCCGTGCTCGTGGGTTTCACCGAAGTGGTAAACGTCTGAGACCTGCATCACTTCGGGCTTTCCTCCCACATTAAGCTGACACGCCATGATATAACTGGAATAATGTTAAAAGCGGCGTTAGACTCACTCACTCACTCACTCACTCTAATGTGGATGAATACATCACAACAAGAAGTAGAACTCATGGAAAAGAAACATTTACGATGTCTGTAAGCAACGTCAAAGACATGAAAACGTTCATTCTCTAATCGCTGTCTGAACAAACCAAAGAAATTACTACTACGATAGACACTGTCAAATCCGAATTAAAAACATTACCGATTAAAACTGACGAAATTCTCCAATCCGATGTTTTCAACGCCGCTCAGATAACCGAGACGAAGTCGGAGATGAATGAACTGAGTGAGTGAGTATGGTTTTACGCCGCTTTTAGCAATATTCCAGCAATATCACGGCGGGGGACACCAGAAATGGGCTTCACATATTGTACCCATGTCGGGAATTGAACCCGGGTCTTCAGCATGACGAGCGAACGCTTTAACCACTAGGCTACCCGACCGCCCCTGAATGAGCTGAGAGCAGAGGTGAATGAATTACGCGAGGAGACAGAACAAAAACTACTAATTCAGGAAACGTATCACCGTAAATCCAACCTACTTGTACACGGAATACCAGAATCAGACCAGCCTGAGCATGCGTGTAGAGAACTTTTCCACGATTTGGATATTGACGGAAGCGACACAATGTTGTTTGTCATCATTCACAGGTTGCCTCGCAACAGTCGTAACCCTCGAGCAGCAAACGCGCCGAATCCGATTATCTTAAAATTTGTGTCAATGAAAGACAGACAAAATGTATTGGACGCAAACTCTCTCTCAGAGAAAAACGAATCTCGATCCGCACGATCTCTCGGTCCCACTGAAGAAGTTTCGTGGATGACTTGCCGCAAAAGCGTATGACATGAGACTGTTCAAAGTTCAGACAAGGATCCAAGAAAGGGGAACAGATATATTCCTGCCATGCAGAAAGACGAGACTCGATGCCATGCCTTATCACATGAGATGCCTTTTACGGAACTTGGTGCCACGCCTTATCCCATTAGATGCCTTTTACGGAACTCGGTGCCACGCCTTATCCCATGAGATGCCTTTACGGAACTCAGTGCCACGCCTTATCCCATGAGATGCCTTTTACAGAACTTGGTGCCACGCCTTATCCCATGAGATGCCTTTTACGGAACTTGGTGCCACGCCTTATCCCATGAGATGCCTTTTACTGATCTCGGTGTCATGCCTTATCCCATGAGATGCCTTTTACAGAACTCGATGCCTCGCCTTATCCCATGAGATGCCTTTTACAGAACTTGGTGCCATGCCTGATCCCATGAGATGCCTTCTACGAGACTCGATGCCACGCCTTATCCAATGAGATGCCTTTTACGAGACTCGATGCCACGCCTTATCCCATGAGATGCCTTTAACGGAACTTTGTGCCACGCCTATCCCATTAGATGCCTTTTACGAGACTCGATGCCATGCCTTATCCCATGAGATTCCTTTTACGGATCTCGGTGCCATGCCTTATCCCATGAGATGCTTTTTACGAGACTTGATGCCACGCCTTATCCCATGAGATGCATTTTACGGAACTTGGTGCCATGCCTTATCCCATGAGATGCCTTTTACGAGACTCGATGCCATGCCTTATCCCATGAGATGCCTTTTACGAGACTCGATCCCATGCCTTATCCCATTAGATGCCTTTTACGAGACTCGATGCCATGCCTTATCCCATGAGATGCCTTTTACTGATCTCGGTGTCATGCCTTATCCCATGAGATCCCTTTTACGAGCCTCGATGCCATGCTTTATCCAATGAGATGCCTTTTACGGAACTTGGTGCCACGCCTTATCCCATTAGATGCCTTTTACGAGACTCGGTGCCATGCCTTATCCCATTAGATGCCTTTTACGAGACTTGATGCCATGCCTTATCCCATGAGATGCCTTTTACGGAACTTGGTGCCATTCCTTATCCCATGATATGCCTTCTACGAGACTCGATGCCACGCCTTATCCCATTAGATGCCTTTTACGGAACTCGATGCCACGCCTTATCCCATGAGATGCCTTTTACGGAACTCGGTGCCATGCCTTATCCCATGAGATGCCTTTTAGAAGACTCGATGCCATGCCTTATCCCATGAGATGCCTTTTACGAGACTCGATGCCCCGCCTTATGCCATGAGATGCCTTTTACGGAACTATGTGCCACGCCTATCCCATAAGATGCCTTTTACGAGTCTCGATGCCATGCCTTATCCCATGAGATGCCTTTTACGGATCTCGGTGCCATGCTTTATCCCATGAGATGCCTTTTACGTGACACGATGCTACGCCTAATCCCATGAGATGCCTTTTACGTGACACGATGCTACGCCTAATCCCATGAGATGCCTTTTACGGAACTCGATGCCATGCCTTATCCCATGAGATGCCTTTTACGAGACTCGATGCCATGTCTTATCCCATGAGATGCCTTTTACAGAACTCGATGCCACGCCTTATCCCATGAGATACCTTTTACGGAACTTGGTGCCATGCCTTATCCCATGAGATGCCTTTTACGGAACTTGGTGCCACGCCTAATCCCATGAGATGCCTTTTACGGAACTCAGTGCCACGCCTTATCCCATGAGATGCCTTTTACAAAACTTGGTGCCACGCCTTATCCCATGAGATGCCTTTTACGGAACTTGATGCCACGCCTTATCCCATGAGATGCCTTTTACTGATCTCGGTGTCATGCCTTATCCCATGAGATGCCTTTTACGACCCTCGATGCCATGCTTTATCCAATGAGATGCCTTTTACGGAACTTGGTGCCACGCCTTATCCCATAAGATGCCTTTTACGAGACTCGGTGCCATGCCTTATCCCATGAGATGCCTTTTACGAGACTCGATGCCATGCCTTATCCCATGAGATGCCTTTTGCGAGACTTGATGCCATGCCTTATCCTATGAGATGCCTTTTACGGAACTTGGTGCCACGCCTTATCCCATGAGATGCATTTTACGGAACTTGGTGCCATGCCTTATCCCATGAGATGCCTTCTACGAGACTCGATGCCATGCCTTATCCCATGAGATGCCTTTTACGGAACTCGATGCCATGCCTTATCCCATTAGATGCCTTTTAAGAGACTCGGTGCCACGCCTTATCCCATGAGATGCCTTTTACGAGACTCGATGCCACGCCTTATCCCATGAGATGCCTTTAACGGAACTTTGTGCCACGCCTATCCCATTAGATGCCTTTTACGAGACTCGATGCCATGCCTTATCCCATGAGATTCCTTTTACGGATCTCGGTGCCATGCCTTATCCCATTAGATGCTTTTTACGAGACTTGATGCCACGCCTTATCCCATGAGATGCATGTTACGGAACTTGGTGCCATGCCTTATCCCATGAGATGCCTTTTACGAGACTCGATGCCATGCCTTATCCCATGAGATGCCTTTTACGAGACTCGATCCCATGCCTTATCCCATGAGATGCCTTTTACGAGACTCGATGCCACACATTATCCCATGAGATGCCTTTTACGAGACTCGATGCCTCGCCTTATCCCATGAGATGCCTTTTACAGAACTTGGTGCCACGCCTTATCCCATGAGATGCCTTTTACGAGACTCTATGCCATGCCTTATCACATGAGATGC